TCAGTTTCCTCTTCCGTAAAATGTAAATCGACAATGGCTACAGCCATGCCTCTTCGGAAGATTGGCTGGGGTCCTTGAAGAGACCTTGACACATTTATAAGCCTACATACGGTGTTCCATAAATTGTTAAGTCTTTTCCAAAATTATGGATTTTTTTTCTGGCTACAGAAAGAAAAACTGTATGGCTATGAGACAGTACAGAAGAGTATAAAACAAAGACGCACTAATCACCCAGAGGCAACACCTATTAACATTGTGATGTATGTGACGTATGTCTGAGTTCTACCCATTTGTATACAGAGAGTATCATACAGAATGTGTAACTAACAGAGGAATCGCTGTTACTTTTTTTGAGCACTCAAGATATGCCTGGAACTGAACTAGATGCTTTACATATGTCAATTTATTAATCTTTATAACCCGATTCAGCAGCTACTATTGTTTCCGCTTTGTAGAGATATCTTCTGGAGGAGGGGTAAAGTGCTCTCCTGCATTAACCCGTCCTTGTGCTCAACAACAGCCAAACTAAACAGATATTAACAGAAATAAAATGTGTGTGCTTGCTCTTGGCTTTTCCCTCCCAGGAGCCTCTTAGCTGAAATTGTGCCCTTAGTGTGAATGTGCAGATCATTTTCCTGGGCGTGTGAATGAGGACATTAGTACCTGTCTGTCTGACTACTCTTAACTACCTCATAATACTTCCATCCTCAGAATAAATGATTCTCATTTTCAGAATGAGCTCTTAGCAAAAAAAAAAAAAAAAAAGGAAATAAAGGTGGGGGCGGTATAAATCTGGCCAAAGGACTTTCCAGTTGGTGTGAGGCCCCTTGGGGACCACCCTGGGATTCCCCACATGCAATTTTCTGCCCTCTTCCTCTGACTTCCAGTTCACTGTAGAACGTTGAGCTGTGTAATGACAGTAAGGTGGCAGTGGGATGATACTATTATTATTAGGGTTGTGTGTTCAAGACTGCTGGAATGACCCAGATAACCCTCCTCTGGGGAGCTCCCCCAAGGGGAGGGACCTCTGAGGTGAGAGCAAATGGGAAATAGGCCTGCCACTTTATTTTTAACCAGTGGCCCTTATGTCCCAGTGGAGCAAAACCAGGAAGTATGCTGGGGCGTGAGATTAAGGCAAAAAGCATGGGTAGGGCCTCTGACTCTTCCTAAACCCAAATCTGACCAACAGGGGCTTTCGTAATTCAAAGGGGTGAGTACATCGCTAGGCTCACGTCTATCTAGTGCTTAAAGTGGGCACTTGACGTCTATTAATTCATTTCATCCTGGCAATTCTCCTACTGAGGTAGAAGCTATTATTATCCTCATTTTATTTATTTTTTTTAAATATTTTATTTATTTATTTGACATAGAGAGAGAAGCAGGAGCGAGCACAGGCAGACAGAGTGGCAGGCAGAGGCAGAGGGAGAAGCGGGCTCCCTGCCAAGCAAGGAGCCCGATGTGGGACTCGATCCCAGGATGCCGGGATCATGACCCGAGCCGAAGGCAGCCGCTTAACCAACTGAGCCACCCAGGCGTCCCATTATCCTCATTTTAAAGCGAGGAAAATGAAGCACCCAGAGAGAACAAGACAGCTATTTTTCTCAACAAAAGAGAGTTTCTGGGTGGCCTGCCCCTGCCCACTGATAAATATGGCCTAAACCAGTGTCCCGACTCAATCAGAAGAAAACGAGAGCCGGGGGTCAGAGGAGAGCAGGGTAAACCCCTCCTCCCGCTCCACCTGCTGGAATCACGGAGGCAAAGCCATCATCACAAGGCCGCTGAAGCTGACATTCTCATCCTGGTGGCAGCTCTCAGCTGGGATGGGTGCTCGTGCCGGCTTGATCCCAAGAGGCAGTTAGAGCCAGCTTCCGCAAGATGAAATGGTCTCTGACACCACCCACTTCCTTTCCCGCTGTCTTGCCCTCCTCTCCTGGCCCCGTGTGGCCCACAAGGCGTCTGGCCTGAGTCCCATTCTGAAGGAGAAGTCCACGAGGGTGAAGTCACCCGGCTTTCGAGCCGCACACAGCTGGCTCAGGACTGTGGCTTTGGACAAGTTAACCTCCCTGAGGAGATGATTTCCTCTTACTTGGAGAAGAGATAATACTTCCCAGCAGGGGCTTCCAGGGTTAAAAGGACGGCTGGAGGTAGCGGCCTTAGCTACAGCAATGTTGTTTACTTGCAGGGTGCCACCCGCCCCTCAAAGGACACTTGTGCTGTAATAGGGATCCCCGAATACCCAAGGCTGTGAAGAACCCCCCCTCTGCCAAGGCAGCAGTCCAGGGGTACCAGCAGGGTGATACTGGGAGCAGGGAGTTGTCCCCAAGTGCCTGTGATTCATTCAGAAAAGGGCGGAGTGCCCTTCCAGCCACATGATGTTAAAGGCAAACCGCAGGCTAATGAAAAAGAGGCAGAGAGGGGACACAGAGAGCTGCTTCCGAGGACTTTCTAAAGATAGGTGTAGATCCAGGTGCTTTGGAAAATGATTAAATGATTAAATAGTATTTCGTTCAACCATGCAGAAAAGTTTAGGTACTGACACCATTAGTGGTACAGGCCACTTCCAAATGGAATGACTGCTCCATAGCGTTTTCTGTAGGAAGGGAGCATGCGAGGAAGGTCGCGTCAAACCCGTTTGTCTTGGAAGTGGCTTTTCAAACTATTATTTTGTGGAGAATTGGCCTGGAGATTTTCTTAAAGTGCAGGACTGATTCAGCAGGTCAGGGAGGGTGCCCGAAACTGCCTTTCTCACTCGCTTCCAAATGATGGCTGTGTCTGCTCCGTGGACCACCCTTGCAGCATCCTGTGGAAGACGAAACTGCCTCTCAGCTCTGTATTCACCTTGATGCAGAAATCAGTTACCGCCAGCTCCTGCTCAGATACCCATTATCTCTGTTTGCATCTGCATGTGCCCCTGAGTAATCTTTCCTGCCTTCAAGAGTGGCCTCGAAATTCCCGCAATTAGAAAAATCACCTTGTCTTCTCATGCAGACCCAACCAGAAACTGTTCCAGGGAGCCCAAGGCGAACTGAACCCTGGGCTGCCGCCCAAGCCCGCCCTCTGCTGGTGACACGAGTCACTGTCTTCTAAACCCAGCCTTTCCTGCTGCTCAAATGCTCATTTTTGTTTTCACATTAATACAGGCAGAAAAGTTGCATGACATTTTCCAGAGGTTTATTTCACTCTTCTAGATTTGGAGAATTTTCCAGCTCTGTTCCTTCAAGTACATCCTGTCGAGGGGGTAGATAAATGTTCAGCCAGCACTTACTAGCACCTTACTGTTCTGAGGTGCCTAAAAGTCCTCCTCCCCGCCCCCCACCCCGATTTTGTTCCCATCCCTCCCAGGCACTTTCCACAGTGGGGTGGCAAGCCTTCCTTTATTCACAGCCTGACCTCTGCAAGATGAGGAGAGGGAGCAAGATTCTTGGTGGTTGTGGTAAGGGAGGAAATACAGACACAGAGACATCAGGAGCCAAAGAACGTTTCAGGGAAGGACAGGGAGATTGGGAGACTCATGCTGCTGATCATAGCGTCATCATTCATTCACTGAAACATTTCTTAATCACCTACCTACCACCTACAAGACTTGGGACCAAGTAGGAGTTAAGCACTCCTAACCCTGCAAAGAGAATGTAGTCTAATAGGAGAAATAAGCCTAATAGCTAACACTTATTGAGTTATCATATGCCAAACAGCGTTCTTACATTATTTTATTTAATTTTACTTAATCTTATTTTAATTTTACTTAAAGCATGATGCTTTTTACTTTATTTTATTTTACTTAAAGCAATGATTACAGCAGCCTGTGATCATCCTCATTGTACAAATGAGAAAACGAGGGACACCTGACTGTCTCAGTCGGTAAAGCGTGCGACTCAATCTCAGGGTCGTGAGCTCAAGCCCCACGTTGGGCCTGAAGCCTGCATTTAGAAAGAAAGGTGGGGGGAGGAAAGAAAGAAAGAAAGAGACGAAGGAAGGAAGGGAAGGAGGAAGGAAGGAAAAGAAAATTGGGGTGCAGAAAAGTTGAGTGATACTTTCAGTGGATGATGGAGTCAGATAGCTTAAAATTACAATTTGCTACTTTCTCTAATAGGGTTCTGGGGTTCGATGGGCCTGGCTGAATGGTTCTCATTTGAGGTCCTTTGTACAGTTGACTTTATACAGTCAGATAGTGGCTAAGGCTGGTGTACGTATCTGGAGCCAGGGTTGGGATGTCAAAAGCGGTCAGGAGCTGGCCAGGCACCTCCGTTTGCAAGGCCTCCCTGAGTGGCTAGCTTGGGCTTCCTCATATCTTAGCAGTCAGAGTAGCTGACATCTTAGATGACAGCTGCCCAGCCCAAACTGCAAAATTTCTCATGATCTTGCTTCTAAGACCCTACAGCATCATTTCCATTATATTCTATTGGTCCAAGTGGTTACAGGTCAGCTCAAACTCCAGGAGGTAGAGCTCTGGGCTCTATGTCTCAGCAGGGGAAGAGCTTCAAGTACACTAAGGCAAGGAATTAATGAAGACCACCTTAGAGAAAGTCACCACACCTTAAGCAGCCTGACTCCAACCTTTGTACATTCAGTCTTTATGTTCCACAGACCCCACATCAGACAGACACAGGCACACCGTGTTCCTAGTGGGGGCAAAGAATGAAGTGATTGGCTCTGCCTCAGTGGGTCAGGGAAGTCTTCCCAGAGGAAACACCCATACTCATACACACACACACATATGTCCCCTTAGAACGGAGGACAGATTGTGACTGCCTTAGGTAACATACTGCATGATCTCTATGTGTTGAGGTGACAATGGCCGAGGGCCAGAGGCAGCTCTGAGACAGCGTGTGGAAAGCCACCAATCCAGGAAACAGGAGCCATGAAATCCAGGCTCAACTCTGCCACAGTGTAGTTCGGGGACCTTGAGAGGAACCAGGAGGCCAGGAGAAGAAAGAGCTAGAGGTCTTTCCAGAACATTACTGAGTGGAATTTCTGACCATGTTGTGCTCCCCCACCCCCAGATCAGAGACCCGCACTTGGTGATCTGTATGGACTGCTCAGCAGACACCATGACCAACCGCCTTCTCCAGAGGAGCCAGGGCAGCCCTTGCGTGGAAGACACCAGCACCATCGCCAAGCGCCTTGAAGCCTACTACCGAGCGTCCATCCCTGTGATCGCCTACTATGAGACGAAAACACAGCTACACAAGGTGAAACGTTTCACTTCCCTTCTTCAAAATGAGCCAATAATCTTTTCTTTCTTTCTTTCTTTTTAAGAGAAAAGGTGGGGGGAGGGAAATTTCCATCCAGGGATCTAGGAATTAGAGCTGCAGACAGCTGCAAAGTTTCACCTTTGTATAAATCAAAATTAAAGAGCTGTCATCACACAAACCATAAAAAATTGGTCATAGAGTTTTCACAGATGCCCTTATAGTTGCTGAACACAACTCCTTTTTCCAAAATAGAGAGAGGGAGGGCGGGTGGAAGGGTGGGGATGAGGCCTAGGTTCTGCCTTCTAGACCACAGCTGAATAGGGTGACCCAAAAGGTCTCTTCTAGGTTTAAAATTCAATGACTTGGAATTTCTAGATTTTTACACAGTTCATAATTGGCACTTGGATTTCTTACAGTAACTGTTATTGAGAAAAGCAGCCTACGGGGCCAAGAGAGCAGGGAGTTTGGTGCAACAGTGAAGACACTGGGGGGAAATGGGTCACGCCAACCTAATGATCAGAAGGGGTAATCCCTGGTGAATTACCATTCATTTTAACCCCTTCATCCACTCATCTGATAAACATGTATGAAGCCCCTCCCGTCAGCCATCCATTGCCCTACTGGTTTAGATACAGATCATGGATGCAGTTCCTGCCTCCTCGAGCTACAGGTTTCAGTAGGAGAGATAGACAAGCCTCTGATCACGGTATGGGGTCAGAGTGAGCACAGAGTGAGATCCAGCAGCCCTTTAACCAGTCTACGGGGAAAGGAAAAGCATGAAGGAAGGTCACTGGTGGACAACTAAGCTGAGCTTCAAAGAGGGAGTGATGGGAGGGGAGCAGGGCACCCCACACAGAAGGAGCCCCAAGGGGAAAAGCTCAGGAGGAAGGAGGAACTCAGCTTGGCTAGGACATAGAGTGCCAAGAAAAAGAGAAAGAAGAGATGGGGCTGGAGAGGGAAGAATGGACCAGATCAAGATGAACCTGAGTCAGAAGCAAGTAATGGTCCTGTGGTGGGTGGGAAGCGGCAGACACAGTCAGGAGGTAAGACAGATGCTCAGTCCATCGAGCTGGCAGAGAATGGATCTGAGAAAACAAGGCTGAGAGACGACTCTCAGGGAGGCAGGGTGCCAAAGCACAGTAGAGAGCACGAACCACTACTTTCTATAGGTCACAGGAAGTCAAAGGAGGCCTCCATCAATAAATAACCAACTTGTCTCTGAGGCAGCTACGTCATCCATTCCTTGGCAGAAACCAATGGTAATGAGTTCTCATCTTCTACACCTGTTAATGGTCCATTTTGCAGAATCCTAAGAACTTAGCCCTGGGAATAGAAGTCTGAAAGGTGTCCCTTGATGTAATACAGGGATGTCAAATATGGGGCATGAAAGCCCCCATCCCCAACTTCCCTCTCTGCAGCTGCTGATCCACTGGTCCCTGGGGCCCTGGGAGCCCTTGTTAGCGCAGCTCTCCAGGCAGCTCCTAGCAACTCATAGGACTTGATCTGCAAGAGGAAGCCGATGAGCTGTGCTTTGTGTAACGTCCGACTGCCGCATAAAACAAACACTTACACTCAACACAAGCAAAAAAAAAAAAAAAAAAAGTACATTATGTAAGAGTGGGGTCTTAAGAATTCAGGGTTGCAGAAGACTTTGTAAGATTAGTGATTTCCACCCTTCACACAGCCTGGAACACACAAGAAAATTGTCCAGATAGAAGAGAATTTCTTCCACTTTTGATTTGTAGAGGTGAAAAAAAAAAAAACCCCTAAGTCATTCAGAGTTTAACCACTTACAGAGTCAGAAAAGCCCTTTATCTACCTCTGGTATCATTCCAGCCTGAGTTCTACACACTGACAGGTGATGGGTATATGGATACAGGACCGAGTTCTGGAATCCTCCTTAGAATATCTAAGTTAATGGAAAATGAAGTTTCCGGTTCCATTTGACTCATGGCGTCTGCTTCCCCTGCATCTTGAGGATGCTGGCGGCCGGGTCTATGGTGAGGTCACATTTAGGATCCGCTTAACAAATATTTAAGCTGCTCCAGCCCTGACTTCAGAGCAGTGTAGCTCCAGCCTGCAGGACTCCCAGGGGACCTCTCAGAGGCGGTGCCTCTGCCCAAAGCTGGATGAACGAGCTCTGTCCCCGGCATGGCCTAGGGACAGCAGGGACCCTCAGAGTACTGGGCACAGGGAGGTGAGACTCGCTTGCAGGTGCCCCGTGGGGGCTGCCACAGCTGGGCCACAGAAGCGGGGACTGGAGGAGAAGCAGGGGCTGGTGACAGGCAGGCATGTTTTCCATGGGGGAAGGGGAAAGCCTCTGTCCCTTTGTGCTCCCCGGCTTCGGGGCTCCTGGCCCATCTTCTCGCAACAGCTTTATCTCCTCCTGGGTTCTGAGCGACAGTTTGCGGCTCGTCCTTGGGATGCTCTTTGGAGGGTCAGCATCTCCTCCCCGTCCGGCTGGTGTATGGAGCCCCAGGCAGGGCTGTGTACCATCCAGGAGGGCCCCTGGATCATTTCAGGGGTTTTCTTAAAACTAGGTAGGAGTGGCGAAGGCACTCCAAGATGCAGGCAAAACAAACCAGTAGCTCAGTGAGATTTACTTAGGAACGAGAGCTCCATCATGGTCCCGCCAAGAAGCAAATGGCCCTCCACCAGCGCCTCCTTCGGGCTCCGGTTTGCCCGGGTGCGTGGGGGGTGAATCCGTTGGCTAACACCCCTGCCTGGTGACAGGCAGCCCTCTGGCCCGCAGCTAGCCCAAAAAAGGGCCGTGAAATTTCAAACAAAGGTAACAAAGAAGCAAAATGGAATTGATACAACCACTGTCTCACTCTTTAAGCCCTTATGATGCCATCATTATACAAAACAGAACTTCTTAGAACATATACCTCGGGATAGAGGCGTATGTGAGACAAATGGATCCCCGGACTTCCCAGCTCTCTTCTCTCCCTCATAAAGGCAGCTTTGCTCGGCGTCTGAGAAAGAGCTAGAACAGAACTTTTCTTCATTCTGCTCTCTTCCTCCCTCATGCTCTGGGCAGACATCAGTCATCAGTTGTGGTGTGGCTTTCCTACCCAGTCTGGACAGCTGCCTCAGAGACTTTCCCACAGGGGCAGGAACAGGGCCACACCCAACTCTCTAGAACCCACCCCTAAAAGGAAGCTTTGTTCCAGTTCAGTGAGAGAATTCATTATTTAAAAAACAAAAACCAAAAAACTGAAATGTAGCATTTCAGGGTAAAAAGCATTGTACTTGGCCAAAGACCCCAGCAGAGAAAATTCCGTCTTGGGTATCAGGAAGCCTGAGGCACGGTGCTGTGGAGCTCTGTGAATCTGGATGAGTGATTTCACTGCCTAACCTCGCCCTTCTTCAGCCTAATAAGATGCATGGACAGAATAGGACCTCCTGGAATCCTCCAGGCCTATCACTATGATTCCTAGGAATTCGGAAAATAAATAAATATATGTTTATTATATGTTAATGATATGTTAATATAACATAATATATATAATATAATATTAATTAATTAATATATGTGGTATAATTTTCTAATCATAAAAGTAACGTGGACTTATTTTGGTAAATATAGAAAGCTAGGCTCTTATGAAGTCTTACCACCACTCAGAGACACACATTCTGGAGTATTTCCTCCATATCCTCTTGCTGTAAATTTTTAAAACATGACTATAACCATCAGTATATTGATTAACTAGGGCTCCTTGGTGGTAGGTAATAGGCACCAACTTCAGCTGGCCTAACCCAAAACACAAAACTTTAAATTATAAGGTGATACAACCCAGAGCTGAAACCCAGCAGGCCCAGGCAGGCTGTGGGACCAGGTCCCTCTGGCTTTGCACACATGCCTGCTCTCACTCATCCAGATTTTTCTTTCTCTGGCCCAGAAGCTAGAATATGGCCATCCTGCAAATTCCACCTCCACGTGTTACCGCAACAGTTCCAAATGCCAGACAGAAATGTTCTGACTGGCCTTGCTTTGCTCAGGGTCTCTCCCTGGTCCTGTCAGCTCTGGCCAGGCAGGTGGGGTCACATGGGACTTTTTCATTTGTTCGTGGATATTTTGTTGAGTGGGTACTACATGTCAGATACTGTTCTTGGTCCTGGGGACAGAGCAATAAACAAGAGAGACTGAAAAGAGAAAAATGTTAGACAAGAAAGTAAAGTAATTGCTAATAGGATAATCTCTATGAGTAAAACAAAACAGTGAGCTGCTGGTGGGGGCTGTATTTTAGGTGGGTGTTTGGAAAGTCTCTGAAGGGGCATTTGAATTAAAACCTGGCCCATATACACATGGCTCCCTGGGACTCTTCCCTGGGAGTTGGGTAGGTAGAATTCCCAGAAGAGAAGGGCTTGTTGTGAGTGGGGAAAAACCCCAGAAATAGCTACCTCAAGTGGCATAAACAGAATTGTATGAATTAATACTTTAGGCTTCTTTTTTTGACAAGTATAAAAGTAACAACTACTTTTTAAAAAGACACAAACTAGAAAATTCAGGAGTATAGAGATAAGAATCTTCCACCCAAACCACTAATGAACATTTGGGTATATTTTCTTACATTTGTTTTTCTCCACCTGTTACATACTTTTTGCTCCTGGTGTAATCAGCCCAGAAACGCCCCAGGCCATAGATGAAAGGGGCTTGATAACAGATGGTAACTATCCCTGGGTTATTTATTAGTCTTAATCAATTTAAAAAGGGGCGGGGGGGGGGGTAATGACTCCGTAAACACGCATTTCACAGTTGCAGGAAATCAAGTTCCTTGGCAACTTCTCTCTGACAAGTCAAGGTTTTTGCTCGCCCATTCTGCTGCTGCGGTGTCCCATCTTCATAAATAGTTTAGCCATTTTTAGTAAGTGCTGAAATAGAGCAATATCCATTGTTGTTCTGGGGAGTCATCCAACCTGGCAGGGGACTTTTTGTGACCTGAGGGAGAAAGAATGAGAAAGGCAGCGGCTGGCACGCCCGGAAGGGAGGGGAC